CTTTCGGTCAATAAAAGCAATCTACTCATAACCAAGTGCTCAAATCTAAATCAGTGGTGTCACCTTCAATAAATTTACTCTGTAAAGAGGGACTAGACAGGGCTGCCCTCTGTCACTGATTCTCTTTGCAATGGCTTTGTAAACTCTGGCTGATGCAATTTGACACAACGTGGACATATATGGTGTCAAATTGGGTCCTCACACCTTCAAGCTTAGCATGTTTGCCGACAACATTCTCCTCTTTCTCACAAAACTGGAAATTACCTTAACTTGTCTCCAAGAAATGCTCAAGACCTTCAGTCAAATATCGGGTCTCAAAATTAATCAAAGTCCTGCATACTTCCAATCAACATACCTTGTGAGACTGAACTACATATCCACCATCACTACACCTTCCAATGGGCTGGTAAATTTCTTGGTATCCGAATACCCTGCACTCTAAAGATTTACTGAAAGTCAATCATATCAATAAACTCCAGGAAATCAGATCGGATTTAAATAAATGGGACAAACAACTACCTCCTTTTCTTGACAGACTACATCTAATTAAATCCTATGTGTTCCCTAAGTTACTCTTCCTTTTTTGTGCAATTCCCATTACTCTAATAAATAAATGAAATCTTCTGATCTCCTCAGACCATGGCAAAACACTCTCAACTCTTTCTTGTGGCATCACAAAAACCCAAGAATAAGTTTCACTAGACTCCGACAATGCAGCTCTCAACGTGGCTTAAACTACCCTGACATATCAACCTATCACAAAACAATGATGTTAACAAATAAAATCAAATTGTTAACCAGAAGAGATCAAGCTGACTGGATAAAGCCACTTCAACCCCCTACTTTTCCCCATGACCATACAAGAGGCCGTCTGGAACAATCCTCATGCGCATCTTGCCTCAATCCAATCCAGTGCCTTTCTGACAGCTATGCTCACTATATGCGAAAAATTCAAATCTAAATCTTGACAGTGTGCAAGTGAAGAAAAGCAGTAAGTAAAAATGGATTTGAATATCAGATGCAAGTTAGGCAGTTGGCCCCATACCTCACCCCCCACAATCTGGCTGCAGTGATCCATGCAATGGTCACTTCCAGATTAGACCACTGTAATTCTCTCTACATGGGGCTTCCCTTGACTCTGCTCCGGAAATTGTAGCTAGTGCAGAACACAGTGGTATAGGTGTTGATGTTGGTGATATGTCACCAACATCTTGAAATGGATCTACAATTCAATAGGCAGCCAGTGCAGGTAACGCAGCACCGGGCAGATATGTGCCTGCACAGACAACAACGTCAACACCTATACCACTGTGTTCTGCATCCAGTCCGTGTTTTGGCGAACCCTCTGGCTCTTGATCCCTGGCTACACTTCCTGACTACGATACTGGCTTGGACTCTGACTATTGGTAACGTTTGACTACGGCTTGGCTTTGTGTGTTTGGAACCGTTTGCTTGGACTCTTGTTGATCTCTCTGGCTGACTCTTGGACTTGCTTATTGACTCTCCCTCTCTGCCCAACCCCCTGGCTCTGTCGTGACAGTCACAGACTGTCATGTCCCTTACTTGGAGAGTTGTCCCCGAGAGACAAGGGCACATGCAACCTTTAAGCAATGAATGCCCATTTGGATCTCACCTGTCTATATTGAGCGAACTCAGATCACAGAGACACCTGTTAGTATGTCTTGCAATTAAAAATGGTTTGCAGGAGAATGTTAATTTTACTGTTGTCCATCATGATGAATCACAAGTGGGAATTAAGATTGCTGGGGAAAAGATCAACAACCTCAGATATGCAGACGATACCACTCTAATGGCAGAAAGTGAAGAGGACCTAAAGAGCCTCTTGCTCAGGGTAAAAGAGGAGAGCGCAAAAGTGGACTTGAAGGTCAACATCAACAAAACTAAGATCATGGCATCCGGCCCCATGGCAAATAGAAGGGGAAGTCGTGGAAGTAGTGACAGACTTCACGTTCCTGGGATCCCAGATCACCGCAGACTGTGACAGCAGCCATGAAATTAAAAGACGCCTGCTCCTTGGGAGGAAAGTGATTTTGAACCTCAACAGCATGATAAAAAGTAGAGACATCACCCTGCCAACAAAAGTCCGCATGGTCAAAGCAATTGTATTCCCAGTAGTCATATATGGCTGCAAGAGTTGGACTATAAGGAAGGCCGAGTGCCGAAGAATAGATTCTTTTGAACTATGGTGCTGGAGAAGACTCTTGAGAGTCCCTTGGACTGCAAGAAGATCAAACCAGTCAATCCTAAAAGAAATCAACCCTGACTGTTCTCTGGAAAGCCAGATAATGAAACTGAAGCTCCAATACTTTGGCCACCAAATGAGAAGGGAGCACTCACTGGCCACCAAATGAGAAGGGAGCACTCACTGGAGAAGACCCTGATGCTGGGGAAGATTGAAGGTCAAAGAAGACGGTGAGGGCAAGGAATGAGATGGTTAGACAGTATCACAGATGCAACGAACATGAAATTGAGCAAACTTCAGAGGACGGCGGAAGACAGGAAGGCCTGGCGTGATCTGGTCCATGGGGTCGCGAAGAGTCGGACTCGACTGTGCGACTGAACAACATCGTGATTCCTGAAATAATGTAAGGACCACATCCATGAGTACCTGATGTCCATCATAAATCAGTCACTGACTCAGGACACCATTCCTTGGTCACTAAAACAGGCATTCATCCATCCACTACTTAAAAAAATAATTCCCAGAGAATAATGATGTGGCCATTTACTGCCTGGTTTCTAATTTGCCCTTGCTGAGCAAGATGATAGAGAGAGCTGTTGCAGAAGAACTCCAGTCCTTCCTAGATGAATAATCTGCTCTGGACTCCTTTCAGTCTGGTTTCAGACTAGGCTGTGGGAGGAAGTCAGTACTGGTGGCATTACTCAGTGATCTCCATTGAAATGCAGACAAGGGCTATGCCGCTTTGTTGCTCTTACTGGATTTATCAGTAGCCTCTGGTACTGTGGAGCATGCCATCTTAGTAAGGTGTCTGGAGTCAGAAGTAGGGATTAAGGGAGGTGCCTTGGATTGGTTTAAACTTATCCTGATGGGCAGGACTCAGGGGACTGCTGAGGGAGACCACTGGCCATCCTGTGGGGTTCCTCAGGCATCAGTCTTATCCCCCATACGACTCGATCTCTATGTAAAACCCTACCCAAACATCATTCATAGTTTGGGAATTGGCATTGGCAATATGTTGGAGACACCCTTCTCTATTTCTATATCCAAATGACGCAGTTGTGCTACAGAGGTCCAGAAGAACCAGTGCTTTACTGCTGTGGTTAAATGGCTTAAAGGTGAACAATCTGAACCAAAAATCTGACAAGACTGTTCTGCTCTGTCTCATTGCACACTGGATGCCTGATGGTGCCTGATGGTATTGTTTTATGTTCTGTAACCCGCCTTGAGTCTCCGTGAGAAAGGTGGGTTACAAAGAAAGTAAATTTTAAAAATTAAATAAATGAGAAATTAAATTATGGAATTTGCTTTAGTGGTCACAAGTGTAAATAGCTTTAAAAGAGAATTGGATTCATGGAGGGGAGAGGTCAATCAATGGCTACTAAACTGTCGTGGTGAGCGAGGCTCCCTCTGAGCTGTGGAGTCTTGTGAGCAAAAATTCTACTCTGTGAGCTCCTGGAATTAAAGTTGTGAGTGAGCGATTTGGCTGCTGCATAAATTAGTTTGTTCTGGAGCCATCCTTCCTGAGCTAAGACAAAAAACTGTGACCTGGAGGCTGAAAAAACTGTGAGCTACTTCACACTAACTCAGCTTAGAGGGAACACTGGTGGTGAGTGAAGGTAGCCTCCATATACAGATGTAGGAAGCTTCTGAATACCAGTGCTGGGAGGCCATATCTGTCAGGTTCCACAGCAAGTAACTCTTCACACACGTTTCCTAAGAAGCGTTATGCTTTATTAGTGTACAAGACTGGTACCATGTCCACAGGATTATTGTTAGGAATAACTAGAAGGCGGGAACATCCCAATATGTCAGGCTTCCCCACAGCATCAATGAAGTACACTCTTGTAGAAAGGTTTTACTTTATTTGAAGCTATAGGTGCATGTACAGGATCACTGTTAGGAATGGGGAAACAGCCTGGAGCATGACCGGTTATAGTACATTCAAACAGCTGAGGCCCAATTGCGGGACTTCCCGCGTGCGCCATCGGGCCTGGGAGCATAATGTTTCTAGGCAGCATAACATACCTCCTTCCCACGGTTTTCCGTGAGATCACCAAAGCAACTATCTAGCAGCACACGTATAGCTGGGCAAGGCAATTAGCTAAGCAAATGAACTTCGAGCGCGCGGGCGGGAAGACTCCCGGTGGGAGATTACATAATGAGCGGGAGAGTCGCAGGGTTTCCTGAGAGCAGAAAAATTCACACCAAATGTGGACCCCAAGTCCTCCCTACTTCACAAGGCCAGACTGATGACGGTGTCTAGTTCCCACAGTCTCCCTGGCATGTTTACGGCAAGCTGCTGAGCTGCAAGCAAGCGGGAACAGGGAAGGGTAGACTACACAGAAATGGCAGCTAGCTGACAATATCAGGAAGGCCTTGGCCTCTGCTAGCCCTTCATGGACACTGGTTGGCCATTGTGTGAAACTGGATGCTGGAGCAGTAGTCTTGGATCAGCAGGGCTCTTCTAATGCTCTCTCAAGGGTATGCACAAGATCCTGAAATGTGGTGTATTGACCAGTTGAATTCTTCCAGTAGAATTCACTCCATCCAATCCCCCTGTAAAACCATTTTAGTGTAGTTTTAATGTGGATTATATAAGTAATTAGTCAAACTAGCCCCAGGAACAATTTGCAAAGCACTGAAACTAGGACTAGCTACTGAGTATTTCAATGTCCCATTTTGAAATGAAGAACAGTTGAGGCCTACATAGTCTACTTCTGGGATTGTCTGATTTAGACAGACAGTGGAAAACCAGCTATGGACTGTGCTATAATTTTTTTTCCCTTATTCTTTCCAGAAAATCAAGAGGGCCCCTTCAGAAGAGGAGTGCTTCTTTGACTTGCTGAGCAAATTCCAGAGCAAACGAATGGATGACCAGCGCTGTACACTGGAGGAATGCCAGAAGGAGACGGGAGAAGCCGCCCCCACACCACGGCCTGTCCTGGAGGAGAGAATGTGTAAGTATGGACTGGGCTGCCCTTTGCTTATTTGTGGTCCAAGTCTCTGTTTGTAACAATGCTCTGCAAAGGAAGGTGTCCCTCCTCGCTCAGGGGCTTTGGGGCCCACAGCCCAGAGGCAGGCCATGTTAGAGGGATCAAGCCCAGTGTAGGATCCGCAGGAACTTACAGCTGTTGTCTCTGTGGGATAAACCCAGCTGCGAGGACAGCCATGCAAGCATTAATGACCCCTGTTTCTGCCCTGCCTGTGAGACATGATAAGAAACCCCTCCTCCAAAATTTCAGTGACACTAACTCGTTGGGTATTTTCTCCGTCTTCCTGTTTTGCTTTCTTCCATTTCTGCCCCCCGTGTTTTTGTCAGCTTTGGAGGGGAGAGAAGGGTTATGGATGTCAAGGTACTATAGCATTGTAATTTTGAAAACTCTTTAACAAAAGGGACCAGCCTGTCTCCAGGCAGCTTTCTTGCTTCCAGTGGAGCCCGGCTTCCGCAAGGCCACCGGGGGGCTGGGCATCTGCCGTCTCCCAAGCCCAGTAGTTGATCAGTGCCAGAGTCCCACGGCACTCAGGCTCAACAACGTTCCTTAGAAGGATCAAGTTTATTGAGTTCAGTAGTAGCAGGTCATTGGTACATACATTCTGTGCAAAAGCTAACCCACTGGCCAGGAGGGGGAAAGATATACTGCATTCAAAGCGGGGTCTTCTGATGGAGTTAGGCCAATCAGAGGTGCTAGCCCTATGTGCGCAAAGAAACGACTGCAGGTTCCCAGGGAAGGAGAGAGCGCGAAGCTTCAAGGTCAGGAAGCCAGATAAGGGCCAGCGAGTGAAGAGAAAGCGAACAATCTTCTTCGTGGTCTCTGTGCATCACACCCTTGGGATATACTGCGCCTGCGCTGACCTTCTCGGTACCGGTAGCTAGCAAAAGGGATTTTCGCGCCTCTCCCAGGTCACGCGCCGGCTCCACTGCGCATGACCAAGGAGGGGCACGCAGATCCCGCCAGTTCTTTTCTGACCGCCGCGCTGGTAGGACGCCTTCTGCTTCGGTCTGTTAAGTACCTAACTTTTTGCTAAACTTGCGTTTAGTTAGTTTCCTTTTCTTTATTTTGTTTTTTGTAGTTAGCATTTTTTTCTTCGGTGTGTTTGTTCCTTGTCTTTAACGTTTCCCCCTCCGCTGGCCTATGGCCCCGCGGTGGGGTTGTTTCAAACGGTGTAAGACTTGCGGCCTTAAAATATCTCCCACCGACGGGCATTCGCTTTGCCTCGTCTGTTTAGGGGAGTCGCACTGTGTTTCTAAGTGCGGACATTGCCAGAAATTCTCGAACCAGACGAGAAAAAACAGGGCAGCTCGTCTGCACTTGGCTTTGATGGAGAAGGCGCTATCTCCACAGTCGTCTTCGCCGTTGGACACGTCCGGGCACGCCTCGATGTCCACCCTGGCTGCGGACACTTGTCCTCCCGTTTCGGGACCATCGACGTCGACGGTCGCAATCGATGCTTCGGCACCGAAACGATCGACGCCGATAAAAGACCACCCCGTACCTTCCAAGATCCGGAAGCAGGGGATATCTGATGCCGTACCTTCCAAGATCCGGAAGCAGGGGATATCTGATGCCGTACCTTCCAAGATCCGGAAGCAGGGGATATCTGATGCCGTACCTTCCAAGATCCGGAAGCAGGGGATATCTGATGCCGTACCTTCCAAGATCCGGAAGCAGGGGATATCTGATGCCGTACCTTCCAAGATCCGGAAGCAGGGGATATCTGATGCCGTACCTTCCAAGATCCGGAAGCAGGG